AAGTAATCTTAATAAAACTAGCCATATACCTAATAACTTAATAATAACTGCAATTGCAAATAATTTCTACAAACTTAATATAAAATCAGTTACACAACTGCTTCAAAAACGACCAATTTTCATCAAAACAAAACAAAATAATAACAATCTAACAGGAATTTACACTACAGACTGTAATAATAGTCACAAGAAATCCACAGGTGAAACTTCTAGGAATTTAAATAGAAGAATAAATTAACATAAAAGGTAGCATTTACAAAACAACATAATGCATTTGTCATTCATTATAATGACTATAACTTTGACTTAAAAAATGCAGTTTTAAGTAAAAGAGAAAGTAATTTATTAAGGTGACAATGTAGAGATGCATTAATTTCTGTATCTCCCATGGAAAATTTATGTTCAGATTCATAGAGCATATGAACAAAACCAGAGCTATTACAATGCAGGGTATTTAAAAACAACAGTAAGAAAAAAAACAAAAAAAAAACAGCAAGTAACTGAATGTCGTCAGTCAGGCTGTATATCAAGATACATTGAGCAGCAGAAATTTAAGAATCCCTGTTGCTGTTGTTGTTGTTTCATCATCATTATTATTATTATTATTATTATTATTTCTCTTTATGTTTAACTATAACAAACATTTGTTTATATTTTTGTCCCCAGCCCCTACATATAAATTATTCCAATAATAGAAAAGATTTAGTTTGAAGAAATCCTTTTAATGAATAAACTAACTCTCATCAGTATGGCTGATCCTAACCTCCATGAGAGTGACTCATGGCACATTCTCTGGCTAACACTCTTGGCTAATATAAAGTGGAAAGATTATATTGAATCCATGCTTTAGATATTCTTGCCACATATGGTCTGGTGCTCCTGTTGCATATTTAGAGATTCTTGATAAAAATCCAAAGAAGAATCAGCAATATTATTAGTCCTGACCTGGCAGCTCAGCTTCAGCCATTTTCTCACCACTATAATGTAGCTTCTCTGTACCTTTTCTATAATTACTTTCATGATAATTGATCAGATGAATTCTTCATTATGTTACCTAGACTTTATGAATTTAAGTGAAGTAATAGATTGACAGCAAGATTCATACTTGGATTGGCTAGATGTAACCATAAGTTCTATGCTAACAGTTTCTTTTCTCACACTTCTCATTTGTGGAACTCGCTTCAGGCTCCATGATTTCCAGCCGACTTTGATCTTTAAGAATTTAGTAATGTTTCTCTTTTTCTTATTTCTTTACACTAAGTAACCCCTTATGTCTTAGTAGCTTTATTGCCTTGCATGGGGTGACATGATTAAAATATAACAAAAAAAAAACAAAAAAAACGGAATTTTTCCAATTTTTTCATCAAATTATTTTATATACAGGGTGAGGCAAAAAATGCACATATTGGGATAATCTATTAAAAGTATAATTACACCTGAACATTTTATTTACTAGTTATTTCATTGTTATATGGTGGGCTGTTTAAAATACCTTCCACCTTTTTAAAAACACATTTAAATTTGTGCCTGGAGAGTTTCCTTTGTCATTTTATTGAATTCATATTTAATTAAGGGTGTGAGGTCTGTTGACCTTGGTGGCCACTTCAGCCATCTTACTTTATCAAGAAAATACCAAAAGAAATTAAACAATTTAAGTGTGCTACTAGATTGGCATATAGGTCCCACCCTTTTACTGTTGAAATAGCTAAATGCAATTGACACTTCTACTCCTACAGTTTCTTATCTTGCACTTCCTGTCTGTAGAATTCCCTTCTGTTTACTTACTTCCCTGATAACTAAAATCTTCAAAAATTTAAATCCAACATCAATTGCCATCTTCTGACTTCATGAATCCCATTCATCTTTTGCCCTTTCCTCAATCCTCCCAATTCTCAGTCTTTTCTTTCACTTTCACTCCCTGCATACTAGTGGCATTCCCACCTTGCTTGAGGTAAAATGATTGAAAAAAAAAAAGAAAAACATGTTTAATTCCCCTATAGTGCATGACTTTTGGCTCACCCTCTATATTTGTGTTCACTTATGTCACAAGAGAAGTCAATCAGAAAGATTGGCAAATTGCCTATCAATTGGACTCTTTTGATGGCAGCAGAAATACAATTTTCTTTTATTTTAGACTTGATGTCTAAATGGCCATAATTTATTCATATCTTAAATGATTTCTAACTGGCTGGCAGATAAATGGAATTTAATTTTGTAATTGCTTTATATTTACATAACATCAGCAGCTGAAATATTCCCACCCTTAATTATTTTGAAATTCTCTGGCAGATGCTCAAACCAGCAAAACTAATCAATCTAGTCTTATAAAAATTTACATGAAAAAATTACAACCACCTATCCCTACAAGCGAAGACATTATTAACCAATGAGGCTTCTGTTAAGCCTTGTTTCTGAGCCTGGATAGAGTGATGCAGTATATGAATAAGGGTAATAAAATAATAATGTTCTATAAAGCTCTAGATGACCTGAGCTTGGCAACTGATCTCATCTCTGACCTAGATCTAACAGCTCAGTAGGGGGAAAAAACTGGCTGGTCACATTCAGTGCCTCAAAAACCAAACTATTGGCATTCCATCATTACTGACTGGACCCAAAACTTTCACTGATTGCAATGAATGAATATTCCCTCGAGGGGTCTTCATGTGTTGAGAGCCTATTGGAACATAAACTCAACCCTAACCTCAACCCATCACTAAAGATGCTGGAAAAATGGTTGGTTCCCTGTACTGCTCCAGTAAGTACCTGATTCCTCCAACTATCTTCTACCTTTACAAGAGCTAGATCAGATCAAAAATGGGGTACTGTTGCCATGTATGGACAAGAGCTGCCCAGTCTCCACTTTCTAGTCTTGCTAGAGTCCAAAAGTGTCTTTACATCCTTGTACGTGCCCACCCTACAACCTCTTTCTCACAGATGAAACATCACAAGCCTCTCTCTACTCTATTGCTATTTCCATGGAAAGTGTTTAGATGAACTACATTCCATAGTTTCACCAGTTCTAGCTTTCACGGCTAAGACCTGCCATGCCATGCTAACGAACTACCCTCATTCCCTTTGTATTCCTTTGGTGAGACGTAAGTTCCATTTGACCAGCTTCTTCCTATGAACTGATGTTTTGTGGAACTGACTCCCAAGAGGATGCTTCTCTAATCACTATAATCTTAACCTATTCAAATCTAGTGTTAACTGTTATCTCCCAATATAGTTGCATAAATTATACCTCTTACTCTGTAGCCTTCTACCTTGAGTAGCTTTTGGGCCTTGTACAGGGTGAACATCATTGTGAAAAAAAAATAATGAAAAAGACCCATATAAGAACAGAAATAGAAATTACATGTAACAGGAAATATATTTTATTTACAAAAGCCTGACCAATGACCACACTGTTCCTGGTGACTCCAGGCTTGGGCCCAGGTTGAGAATCAATGGTTGAGCCAACATGACTTTTTTTTTCAGGATACAGAAATCCTTTATGGAGGGGAGGGAAAGAGGAGAGAAAGAGAGATTGTAAAAAAAAAAAATAAATGAAAAGAAAACTCATCATCTGGATTATTTCCCACCAATCAAAAGAATAGAATTTGAAACCCTGCAATAATTTGCAAAGATAGCTTTGTGAGCCTGCCTCTGCAAATATAAACAAGTTTGCCAGCCAAGTAAATCACTGTTCATTCTTGATATGTCAGAGTAAATAGTCAGGACAAATGGGGCCAAGCAGATCAGTTAACATTTTCAGCATGAAACGAAGAGGACTTTAGACTCTGAGGTAACATGTGGCTAAACAAATATGACCCTAGGTAACATTCAAAACTTTATGCAGATAATTTGGGACTAGTGAAAAAATCCCAACAAGTTTTCCTTAATGATACAAAAAAACAACTTGTTTATACCCACCATAATTTTACAAAAATGTAACAACTTTTACCACTAGAATATTCATTAGGTATTTCTCATTCAACATCAGATGGTTTTGTTGCTTGACCTATTGACCTTGGATAGGTAAAACATTAACAAGATATTGTGTACTTTTGCTATCTCCTTCTACAAAAGATGATTTTTAATTTAGATGTTGAGTAAGGCAGTGATCCATTTGCCTGATGCGTTTATGTGACCAGATGGCAGAATGTGAGGTGGAAAACTTAACAAAAGGGAAAAAAACTACTAATAGCCACACAAAATAGGAAGTTGGGAAGAGCCATGATCGCCTATGTCCTGATGTGATGTGGCAGATAGAAAGAGAAGAGTCCTTTTTATTATGAGTCTGCTAATTATATATATATAGATATATATAGCTCTTGAAAATATATTTTCAATTGAGCACTGTTGAATGACAAGCTAATTCTAAAAACAACAGCCATCTGCGTTAATGCAAAGCTCTTCAGTAAAATGCATGGAGCACTGCGAATGTTAGGAGTTTGCTTACATTTGTAAAAACAGTGCACTAGATTTGGCTGATTTAGTCTATCGAAATTGGTTGGGTTTCAATCTGGGCTTGAGGCATTCGGTTGTCTAGTTTCACTGAAGAGCTGTGATACAGTGAAACAGTACTATCTGCAAATGATATATATATATATATATATATATATATATATATATATATATAAAACATATTTTTAAGGTGTGCTATATTTATGGGATAAAGTGCTCAATATCAGAGATACAGCGTATGTAAATATAAAAGTGAACATTGAAGTCAACACTCAGAGGTGACAGGCTGTTTCATGCTGGATGCAATCATCAGGCCATAAATCCTTTTCCTTGGCCAAAGAAAAATCCAGCATTTATGGCCTGATGATTGCGTCCAACATGAAACAGCCTGTCGCCTCTGAGTGTTGACTTCAATGTTCACTTTTATATATATATATATATATATATATATATATATATATATATATATATATATATATATATAGAGAGAGAGAGAGAGAGAGAGGAAGGAAAATATCCATAAACTTTTTTTCCAGGCTTACAGCTATGTCATATTGAAATACTGGTTCTCATATGATCACCAAAATTAAGCATTGTTGGGCCTGGTCAGTACCTAGATAGGTGACTGCTTGGGAATAACAGCTGTTATAAGCTTGGATATGAGGGTAGTGTAATGGATAATGGCTCAGAATTGGAAATCAGAGGACTGAGTTCCAATTCCAGTTGGGTTTGTCATATTCACTTATGCACAAATACTCTTGGGAAAGGTATGAAACTACCTCTCTTAACTCCAGCTATGGGTTAATTATTAGTATGACTTGTCTCAGTAAATCAATATTATCTCAAAAATTTCTTACAATCTAAAAATATTTTCTGGATTTAAATAACCTACAAAAGGTTGATAAACTGTAAAAAAAAAAAAAAATACAAATTGATTGATGAATGGGCTATAATTTCAGAAATTTCAAATTATGCTGCAAATTAAAGAATTAAATAAATATTGGTCAGTGTTAGTTTTTTCAGAGTTGTCGTATGATTAAGGAAAGTTAAGTATTACCTATCACATGCTGTTCGACAATGCTCAATTAAAACAGTGATGACATGAATGGATGAACAGAGGATTGTTAGTGAAACATAAAAAAAATTCTCTTTGTATAAAATAAAATTTATATATACTTTTGTTTTACAATGATGTTCATCCTGTACAAGGCCCAAGTGCCGCTCGATGTAGAGGGTTACAGATTAAGAGACACAATTCTGAGATATTATCCATTACACTACCCTCACATCCAAGCTTATAACAGCTGGTATTTGGTTTTGGTATGGGAACTGAACATAGATGAAGAAAAAGAGAGCAGAAAACAGAAGGGTTACTTAGTATCACTGTCTCTCATGGTTTTATAATCATTTACTCAGAGTTATAACTCACCTCCAAGTTACTAACACGTATCCATTAAATAAGAAACTGCTGTTATCAAACCAGACAATAAAAAATGACTTGAATAGAATTTGATGTATAAAACTTTGTATATGTGTGGCACAAGTTGGGGTTGTTAAAATGAAGCATGACAGTTTATGAAAACTACATGTATAAAAATTTGAAATTTATAAAAAAGAAGCTAAAGATTTATGGTTGGAAAACCCACCAAAATAAAGATTGCAAACAGTCATAGTTTAAAGAGATAAGTTTTGTGATGTTTTAACAATGGGTAAAATAAGTTGAAACCCCCAAAGTATCAAATTTCTGATACAAATTGGAGCTGATATGTGGCTATTTAAAAAGTCTGGTTTGTCTGACAAGTAGAAGGGTTTTGGTATGGGAACTGAATATAGATGAAGAAAAAGAGAGCAGAAAACAGAAGGGTTTTGGTTTTCACCTGTAAATAACAGTGGGAAGCTTCAGGAATCAGAACAAATGAATAACTAAAAGCTGCTGATTACTATGATGACAATAAAAAAGAAGCTGAAGGAAAAGGAAGAAATTTCTACAAATCTAAAGAGATATAAGATTATCTTTCTATAGTTGTGTTGTAATGTTGTCTCTGTTCAAAATAGCTGAGAATTAGGAAAGCTGTAGTTAGAGAGAGTATCAAAGGAACAGAAGACTAGGTAGGAAAAACAAAGAAGAGGTTTATTAAATACTCGTACATAGGAGTTCAAAATAGCCAAGAATTAGGAAGGCTGTAGTTAGAGAGAGTATCAAAGGAACAGAAGACTAGGTAGGGAAAACAAAGAAGAGGTTTATTAAATACTCGTACATAGGAGTTCAAAATAGCCAAGAATTAGGAAGGCTGTAGTTAGAGAGAGTATCAAAGGAACAGAAGACTAGGTAGGGAAAACAAAGAAGAGGTTTATTAAATACTCATACATAGAACAGAACTACTTAATTTCCACTCTAATGTGGCTACTTGCCATATTTATAATTAGGAACAGTCTATTGACATATTAGTAGGGAAGAGCAGGAGGTTAGCTAAGTCCTACTCTACAAGTTGTTTATTACAAAATTAGATGTATTATCATTTTAAATTTTTTTATGAAAATACCCATTTCAGTTTGTAAAATTGAACTGATGTCAAAACAAACGAGAAACCTAGAAACAACTGTGGATTTGTTGTCCTTCTCACTTTCTTTTGACAGATGAATGATTAAAATGAACATTTTGTTGATAATAATTCTAATTGTTTTTATAAGAGCAAGAGAATAGCAATAAGAACTTGTTATCTTGCTGAAGTGTGAACACTGAGAGTTTGATAAATATGAACATATCGAGAAAGTGAGACAAATATATAGAAAGATGTGAGAGATTGTGGTATAGATATAGAGAGATAGGGACAGAATGAGAATGTTAAATAGACATATAGATAAATATGAACAGACTAAAATAGATAGATAAACATACAGGTAAGAACAGACCGAGACAGTGAAATAATTAAGTATAGTGTATTTTTTTAATCATTACACCCCAAGCAAGGTGATAATGCCACTAAAACACAAGGGATTATTGGGAGTGAAAGAGGGTTTTGAAGGAACAAGAAACCCAATTCAAACCAGGAAACAAGAGATAAACCTCTACTCTTGTTCAATAGACAATGAAGGAGTGTGAGCTGGAGGAGGGGGGGTTGAACCTATATACTTGTACTATGATAGATTATATTAATATGAGATCTATAATATATTCATATTAATATAATACATAGTAATTAATATGTTATACTTAATTATCTCACTTTCTCAGTCTGTTGCTACCTATATTTTGTTTTTTAAACATATCACCCCCATGCAAGGCCATAAAGACAATAAGACACAAGGGTTTACTGAGTGTGAAAAAATAGGGAAAATAGAAACGTTATTAAGGAATGAGAACACTAGAAGAGTAATCAAGATGACAGTAGATGATGATTGACATTGAATTTAAATTTTTAAAGATCAAAGTTAGCTGGAAAGCATAAAGCCAAAAGAGAGTTCCAGAAGTGAGAAGTGCAAGAAAAGAAACTGTTAGCATAGAACTTACAGTTACATCGAGCCAATTCAATTGTAAATTGATGAGACCTTGCTGTCGATCTAGTACTAGTACTTTATATTGATAAAGTCTAAGTACAATAGTGATGTCTTCATCCAGACAATTACCATGAAAGTAATTATAGAAAAGGCACAGGGAAGCCACATCAGACTGGTGAGGCTGAATCTGAGACAATAGGTCATGAACAATAATAATGCTGATTCTTCTTTGGATTTTATCAAGAATTTCTAGATATACAGCTCATGCACTGGATCAGATGTGGCAGCAATATTCAAAGCATGGATGAATGGTAGACTTATAAATATATATTAGATTCAGGAGAGAAAAAATTATCTGGCATAACACAGTGAACCAATTTTCTTAGCAGTAGACCCAGCAATGGATTCAATATAATCTTTCTACTTCATGTCAGCTGAGAATGTAAGCTTTAGAAAGTGCTACGAGTCATTCTCATGGCGGTTAGTATTAGCCATGCTGATGGAGGCAGGAAGAGGTCTTTCAGGTGATTGATGGAGAGAAGTTTCATTTTGGAGGTGTTAAAATTAACAAGCCATTCCTTGCACTAGTTAACAACAATATCAGCTGCTAATTTGATCTCATCAAACTGATCAGGCTTACTATTGAGGTAGGAGTAAATGGTTGTATCATCAGCATAGATATGAAGTTGAGAACTGATGCCATCAGGAAGGTCACTGACAAAAATTAAGAACAAAGTAGATTCAAGGATAGAGCCCCAGGGGTCACCAGTATTAATAAAAAAAAAAGATACATTATTTACATTATTTGGACTATTGTCCTCATGTTTGTCACCATATTTATTACAACGTTTTCGCCGTTGTACACTCCGGCCTTCTTCAGGTGGTTTGAATGTCGAACTGAACCCTTTATTTCACTCACTGGGGTAGACTGTTCTAGTTCCACATGCCATGTTTAATGGATGTCAGTTATCAGTTATCTCCTGTCAATTTCCCTCTGAAAGTTCTCCACTGCCTTAACCGGGTATTGAACTCACACTCTTTGGGTCCTGTCACTGGACGCCTTTATTGTGGCTTCCCTGTGCCTTTTCTATAATTACTTTCATGGTTATTGTCTGGCACAGTGGATTAAAAAAAAAAAAAAATCAAGAAGAATGACCATTCAGGATAACTTTCATTTTGTGATTTGATAAGAAAAACTTAATTAGTTCAAAAACTAATCCAGAAATATCATAGTCTTTCAACTTATGAAGAAGACTGGTATGCCAAACCCTGTCCAATTTTGAGATATCTAAAACTTGATAGACTCTTTCAGCAATAATTGTTAGTAAATTAGCACTTGACCTAGAGAAGTGAAAGCCATTGTTTTGTAAATTTTGTATTGTGTGCTATTGTTATATTTTATGTCATTTAATAAATGTAAATTTGTTTCAAATTTCACACTAGAGTAAGTGTTTTTCTTTTGACATCTCTCATTCTCCTCCTCACCACAAAAAGAGCAAAGATGAGGACATTAATTTATTGGTTATTCCTGTGTAAAAGTATCAGATTTTATTGATAAATGTAAATTTCTTTCAAATTTCATACTGAAGTGTTTTTTTTTGTTTGAACCTTTCATAATACTCAAAACAAGAGATTTGACATCCTCTCTCATTCTCCACCTCCTCACCCCCAAAAGAACAAAGATGAGGACATTAATTCTTTAGTTACTCCTGTGTAAAAGTATCAAATTATATGAAAATATATATAGGAGCTACTGAAAGAACCTGGAAACAGACAAACTATGCACACAAAAAATCTTAAAACAATAAACACATGAACAGCATAACTCTTTCTAAACATAAATAAGAACTTAAAAACCAAAATGCACCCAAAATATCATGGAAAATAAGGAAAACACTACAAACACAACAATAACTCCAGAAACAGAAAACATTGTCTGGAGGAGAAAATAACTATAAACACCTTCTCAGACCAATAAAATTTACTAAATAAAAAATCAGAACTTATCAGAAAATGTCAGCTTGCATGTAAGTGAATATAACAAACTCATCTGGAATTGGGACTCTGCTCTGCAATTTCCAATTCTGAGTTGTTATTCATTACACCATCTGCACATCCCAAATTACAACACCCAGTGCTCCCAAATGGT